TATATGTCCCAGAGCCTGTCTCGAATTGAGATGATTTGATACCCTTTGTTATCATTGGTCTTTAGCTAAGATATATGAGTTTACCAATCACCGGGACTCTCAAGGAATATTGGGGCCTTCACATAATGAGTCTTAGAGATGTCATTCCCTTTATCATATCAGGAGCATGGCTTGCAAATATCTTCAAGAATCGTATCAATCGGGTTTGCATGGTTATCCACCGTGTGCCAATATATATCAATTTGGTTGTTCAATACTTTTTTCATGGTCACGCCCTTGGACTAAAAGTGTACTTAGCCTTGTATCAGGACTAAAAATACACCCAACAATTGTATGGTGCTTCTCGTCATAGAAATACTTAAAATAGCATAGTGTTAAGGGCATGACACCATTATCATGACGTCACGGGTGCTGCATTATAAGTTGTATCTGACTCAAATGACCTAGAAGGCGACATAAGTGTTCAACTCCCCTATCTTGAGATTCAGACAAATACTTCCAATGACCTTTGCAGTAGCTTGATTGAAGTCTTGTATCACCATATGTCTAGATTGAAGATTATTGATGTCCATACCTATCGCTTTCAAAGTTTTCAATAGGAGGAGGTTGATAAAAATTTGATGAAAAAAGGGTGTTGGGGGGTGGAAGTTAGAAAAGAGTAGCACTTGAAGTCGGTGTCCGGTTCTGAATCATGATTGAAGCTGTGTATCGCCGGTTGTCTGGATTGAACATTATTGATGTCCATTCCTATCGCTTTCAAAGTTTTCAAGAGGAGGAGGTTGATCGATGACCCTCAGTCTATCATTATCCTGGTAATATTATTTATGCTTGAAAATTTCGACAGAAGAAATGCGACCTCCATCTCGTTTTCACGTGCAAACTCATTGATAAGTGGGTAGAGGATAAGGGTCCCATCGAGTTATAATCTAGGCAAGGAATCGATCGTTCGACCGCTCTCGTATAGATTACTGGCTTGAGGGTCAAAGAAACCAAGGATCCACTAGAAAGAAAAGGGTTTCTAAATATATTAGAAATGAAATGAGGATAAGGTACGAAAGCTAACCTTCAACCAGTCCCCCCCAGACCCGGCAGCCGGAGTCGATGGCCGGTTCAGAATCATGCTTGGTGCACTGACTTTTTCTTGTCCTTCAGAATCCATCGGGTAGAAGAGATTGATATCATGGATATTAGTATATGATAGTATCGAGATTAGGATTTGAGGATGTTAGGGTTAGTTCTCGGGCTTAGGTCTCAAATCCAAAAGCGGAATATTGAATGCGACAAAGTTTGAGCTAGGGTTCAGAGTCTCTCATGGAGGTTGGATTGAAGCCAAGGACTCCTATTTTAGTGTCACAAAGATTCAAGCCAATCTGAGCCATCGATTTTCAGTGCCACTGGTGGCAACATTAGCGTTAGCACCAACAATACCACCATTTGGTGCCATCAATCATTTGAAGTAACTTCTATTATGCCATTGTTGTCAATGAATTATTACAGTGTGTGTAATATGCTTCCTTTCATCAATGTGAACATCGTTTCCGGTGGACAACTTACGATTGGGGTCACTGATTGGCGGCGGCAACACCACCACTGACATTGGCATTGCTACTAGCTACGCCACACTTCCCATTCTCCAATGGGCATTGCTGCCACTAACGAGGGTGTTGGCACTGCCAACACCACCCCGAATCACTTTATTGTTAATAATTGGTCCTTCCCATTTAATAGAAACACTATTTCAAATGTGTATGAGGGTGACTTTTGGTTGTGTTGCTACCCCTGACTCGAGCATTGGCACCACCAACTCCAGGCTTAATCATTCATTTTTCAATTATTTGTAATGTCTTTTAATGAAAATATTGTTCCATACATGTTAGAATTGCCCCGTTGCTAAGGTGTTGTTCCACGCATGTCGGCGTTGTCCGGTTGTTGGCGTTGACATGACTACCGTTGGCATGACCACTGTTATTGATGGTGTTACCACCCCTATCTTGGGCGTTTGTGCCACCAACGCCATGGTCTTGGGAGTCGCTGGTTCTTACATGGTCATCAACATATCCAAGTCATTGGCTTCGGTGGTCCTCTTTCAAGCTTGGTGGTCTTGATGCCAAGACTAAAATGATATTTTCCCAACAAATTTCCTGGGGCCAAAACTCCCAAACCGTACATCGTATTCAAACGATTATAGCCATTGGAAAGCTTGTGACGTTGAATTTCATATAAAAAATTATTTTGAGCCCAAAAGGTTGATTCTTGAAGGGTCTATGAGGCTCGGGTTTCAGGGTGCTAGTTTTTATAGTTCTAGATATCGGATTTGTGTACCATTTGTTGTCTGAGGTATCTAGGGCCTATGGTTCTGGGACGGCTTCAAGGTTCTTACGGTTCCAGGTCTTTGGCTTCCTAGGATTCCCGCAGCCGAGGATGGGGTGTCTACAAATATGAATGCCAAGCAAAGTCTCGGCTACCATGAGTAGGGGGTTACATGATCAGGTCCCCATTTACAAATTATTATCCGAGAAGGTGACAGGTATGGCATCGGCCAAAAGATCCCTCTCCACTTCAACCTAATCAACCTCAATTTGAAAGTATTTAGGTGAGGACAAAGCCTGTATGAGGGCGATCCTAAGCCCCTTGGACAACATGAGTGTGTCCTAGATGCTAAGGGTTGGAGGTATTCTTCACAAATGGGCAGTCACATTATACTTATTAAGACTATCAATAATGGCTCGCTGTTGTGACTTGCCTCGTGGTGGCATTAGAGGTTTTGTACATACGTCTGGGGGCAGCCCTGTATGCTTAGATGGGCCAGTATCTTTTGGCGGATTGGTTTTGGTGGTTTTCCCCCCGGATCTCAATTCGAGCTCCATAACTTGGGAGATAGGGTCAAGTTCTAGTATCGAGACCATATGGGATTCGTCTGCTTGCCCCTTTCCACTAGCCTCCTCAGCTATCATGGACTTTGGCATGAAGTCCTTCAGATTTGGCAGTGGGGGGAATGGTTGGCAATGGCTCTTCCTCATTGGGGTAAAGAGGCTGTAGTTTTCGGGCCTTGAGATAGGCATAGGTTGTGGAGGGTGGGGTTTCACTCCTCGTTCGGGCGGGCCTCTCCGTTTGCTTGGAATATATCAACGGTAGGGTAGTCGCGGATGAAAAATTAAAATTTGGAAATCAAGAATATATATATATGGTTGGTTAGTGACACCTGAGTTGCCTTCTCTCTCCCTCGATACTCGGTCTTAGGGTTTAGGGTTTAGGGTTCAGGGTTCCTAAACTCGGTCTTAGTAAGGATGGCACCCAGGTTTAGAAATCAAAACCATACCATACCATGGATTTGTGGATGACCAAGATTGCAATTTTTTTTTTTTTGTGTTCTCAATGAACTGCAGTACTCAGATGTACAACATATCTGGAGTATTTGAGGTTTGCACTTTCAGAAGGGGTTACTTGAAGCACTACAAGGAAAAATTTGTATATCAGGTCGCTCTTCAATTTGAGGTGTTGTGTTTGATGCCATGGAACATGTATGAAGGTGTTTTTTTTCTTTTGGTAATTCATGGTGTTGTCTAATCTTGATTGGGAACATGTATCATTCTCATTTCTCTCAATATACAATGCTAATAAATAAGCATTGCTGGAGTTCAAAATATCATTTTATATGTATCTATTGCCCGATCTTGCTTGGCATTGCCCAAGACAATTTACCGCACTAGTATCAACATAGTGTACTCTATAAACCAGAATCTTTGATGAGGTCAAATATAAGGGTTAGCTTGGCTCTCTGGGAAAGATTTTCTTCAATATTCCAATGAGAGAGGTGATTGAAAGGTTATATATATAGCCCCTCCTTTTTATTTTCGCACATATTGTGGTTCGAAACGTATTTTGCCACATTCCCTTTGATATTACAACTACATCATTCACATACTACATTTCATGCAATTTAAAAATGGGATAATCTACAATTCACAGCCTCTTAAAATACAAATGTTAATATTATAAACGATTGTGAATGGTGGATTTTTTAACTATGTTGTTCCCTTTAAAACATAAATTTACTTTCTATGATATCTTTCTCATTGAATAATAATGTACATGCAACTGACACAAAAACAATGGGTACTTTTGTCATTTTAATAGGTACAAAGTTTAAATTTTTAATAAAAGACAAGAATATTGTATTAATAATGTTTCACAATGCTAACTTTCAAAAATATTATTGTATTGTTATAAAATTTCAAATATACACTTACATGATGATTAAAGAATTTACAAAAAAATGATTTTTTTATAAATACATATATCACAACATATCTTAACATTAACCTTTGTATTTTAAAAAATTATAAGGCTTTGATATTGCCATAAGTTTACAAATTACAAAGAGACCATTTACTTTTAGCATATATATTTGTGTCCTTACTTTGAAGAATATATATTGAATGGGGTCTTGAAAAGAGTACGAGATGAATAGGGTGTTATGGGTTTCCACATACTTTAAAATAGTATTTTAGAAAGAGAAATTTATATACGAATGGAAAGAAAGATGCAATGGTTCATATTTTGGGTCATGTTCTTATCTTAAACCACTCGATACAATTTTTTTTTATTATTATTTATTATTATTATTTATGTTTTAGGTGAGTTGAAAGTTGGACTTTCAAACCACCGAGTACCTTGGCTTCTTTGCATTTTAGGTCATTCAAATGTTAGACTTTCTTAGAATCCCAAAATATGGTATTTGCTGTGGGTTCTAAGCAAAAAAAATTTGATTTTGAAAAAAACAAAAAGCTAATATCGGGGTGGTCCTGGATTAATATAGCATATGGGAAAATTAGGAATAGGCTCAAGGCTAAGTGGTTAGGGCGGCACAACATTACAACGGAACATGTTGAATTCCATATTGATCACACCCCTTCCCCACCGAACGACCTGAAAAAAAAACATATCGGAAAATGGCTATAGAATTTTAGAAAACCTGAAAGAGAAAGGAAATGGAACAGTAGCTTCAAGGCTTTGAACGCGCCATCAAATTAAAAGAAGTAAACATTGTGTTCCAAAAGCAAACACACTTTTCCTCGAAAGGTAACAGAATGGAGAAACGGGGGCTTGAATGGTAAGGAACCCTATATCAAAGTCTGAATCCCGCGCTGATGTACAAGACAGAGATAGAGAGAATGGTATGGTTTGATATTGAAGAGTTAGTTTTAGTTGAACAAGGATTTTGGGTTGAGGCAGGGAATGAATTTTCTGCACTCTGATGGCGAAACATACTTTTGCTCCTCTAAACTTTCGATACATTCTTTTGTTGCTGTTGGGGGGATGATCATTCAGAGTGACTTAATGCAACCAGGGCCAACATCCCAGTTATAGTAGTAGTTGGGTTGGGAAGGACGACCATCATCATCCAGACATGGGATCAGGTAATTGTTGTCGTCGCTGCATCCTGCTCCATAGCGGCAGTTGATGGTTGAGAAGGGATGGCAGTCGCATTTCATGAGTGTATCATCATCCTCATCGCCATTATCCTCATAGTTGGTGGTTGTGGCATTCCCAACACATGCACTTGCGCTCTCCTCCCCTCCCACTGTAGATAGCTCCACTACCCCCGACTCCTCCCTCGCTGTCATCCCCCTCTCCCTCTCTCTCTCTCTGAGCTCTGCTCTCAGCTTCAAAACCTGAATGAAACACCGTAGAATTGTGAATGACAAAAGAAAAAGAAGAGAAAGGTGGTTTGACTGACCTCTTCATGCAGCTTCTGCTTCTCCTTAGAGACCAAGTGAAACTGATGCTTGAGTGAGTGGTAGAGATGCTCCACCTGCTTCGACTTCCACCTGGCTCGTCTGTTTTGGAACCACACAGCTACCTGGCGGGGATGCAGCCCCAACTCACCGGCCAGCCTCATCTTCCTTTCAGGTTGTAACTTGGTCTCTTCTTGGAAGCATTTCTCGAGAGATTCAATCTGTTCCTCACTCAACCTCCTCTTCCTTCCAGTTCCCCCTTCTTGCTTAAGGAACGCCCCCATTGCACCACCTGAAACTCAAACTCTCAGTCACATTAAATTATAATATAATAAATAATAAAGAGGCACTGGGAGAGAGGTACCTCCAGGTCCATCATTGTAGACAGCAGCCATAGAAGGGGAATGTGACCACCCTCCCCCTCCATAGGGCGGGAGTAGCAGGTTGCCATTCCATGGCATCATCATTTACCTACGAAACTCTCTCACTTAACTAGGGATGATGGATGGGTCCGTCAAAGAACAACATATATAAGCAAGGTGAGGGGAGAGTTGGAGGACCACCCACGGGAAGAATGATAGCCTAGGATGGGGCTACTTCTCCAATCCTTAATTTGGTTGTGAATGTGGGGACTCTGCTGGTAACCAGAGTAAGAGGGAGAGAGAGAGAGTGCAGTCCAGTTGCGAAGAAGGTGATGTGGTACTACTGCTACTGCTACTCCTACTCCTACTCCTACTCCTACTGCTACTCTTTCTTGCAGCATCATCATCTGTCGCCTTCTTCTTACTTTGTGGTCCTCCTTCCTCCCTTCGTCCTACCATTACCTTTTTCAAACTCTCACTGACACTTCTCTCCCTCTCTCTCTACACGCGCGAGCTCCTCGCTGCCTGCTGAAGCCATTGGTATTCTGAATGAATGAATTCGGAACCCCCCAACGCATACAACACCACTTAATGCAGCAGGACTTAGCTTCTTTTTTGGACTTGTTTTCCTGACTTCAATCCAAACCAAATGTGCATTGTGTCCTATTTATTCCTCTTCAACTCCCACTTTCGTTTACATTGCCGCTCAAAACTCACCTCACCCTTGTCGCTTCAAACACTTAAATCCCTGCAACTTCATCCTAAAATGCTTCTCAAGAAAAACCACCTCATACTGTTTAAGTGTAAATAAATAGCTATTTACATACGGCCACCTTTCATGTCCCTACAGTACCATTTTACATATAAATTACAAGGATTTTTTTACCCCGCCAATTACCACCTCAAAAAGAAGGAACTATTATTTCACAAGCCACACACTCTCTCTTTCGTGGTTTGGATACCATACATTGTTATTTACCTATCCGGTAGTACTGATATCAAACAATAAAATATATTCTAATGTTTCTGATACCGGACAGCATTTGGAATTCCCCAAAACCCCATCCGGCCCTTTTTTCCATTATTTCTTCTCTTCTCTCTCTATCCTCTCTTTCTCTACCTGTGGAGCGGCCGTCTGAAGCTCTCACATCTTTAGGCAGGTTTTGCATCCACAGATTTACTTTGTTTTTTTTTTTATGGACCTTTCCATCATTTTTGGACCTACCGAATCAATAACTCTAGGGCTTTAATAGTTAATCCAATCATCGAGAAATTTATACAAATGTGTAATCGTTGTACACATCTTTTCACACCAATTGGTATAAAGAAATTCCCACACTTAATCACAAAGGGAAAAGTTCTTTCAACATGCCCTAAATGCTATCGCAATAATTGTAGTTTTGATTAAGATTGGGCAGGATATTATATTTTAGGGAAATAAATTAGGTGGTCTTCTTGGTCGTGGGATCGTCGTTCATTTGTTTCTGTTAAATCCGGAATTTGATTTACCCCAAAATCTCAAATCTTGTTTACTATTATAGACTAACTAAAAAGAACTAGATGACAAAATTTGGAGCTTCCTATTTTATAGGCCATAATGTTGAGCTCTCAAATACATTTTTATTTTCCGTTTCGTTTGGTTGGGATCCATTGAAGATTTTTGAGAAAATATTAGGTCACATAGATCCCCCTAACTACAATTGGATACCACAAAGCCTATTCTTTTTAACCGAAGATAAAACCCGGCAGAGTATTCGCAACGTTCATAGCGAACTGGCAAGAGGAAAATTTTCTCGTTTTCTTAACATTCATCCTAACTGAGGTAAGGTAAAATATACAATTCTCCGTCTGAGGCACCCAAAAAACCCTTATCAATAGATGGTGTCGATGCCCAATGTTCCCTTCTGTTAATAAGCCCCATCAGTGTTGAACTAACATCCGCTAACCGTTGAAAGTACAGGACAGACCCATTGTTCTGTCATGAAGTCCAATCAGGGAAGAGCAGCTAACCTCCATTGACCATTGAAGGTACAGAACGGTGGGTGGTTGGTTACTACTATATATAAAGGGAAAAAGTTTATATAAGGTTGCAACCTTAAAATATAATGTACCTAAAAAATCCATCGAAAAAAATTGTTTTAATATTGCAAATCCCTTTAATTGGTCATCTTGACATTGAGACGAATGACTATGAAAAAAAAAGATTTTTGAGTCCCAGAAATAATGCATATTACAACACATTATCTAAACAGCCTATTTTCAAGATTTTCATATATTTATAGATCTATTTGATTTTAATCATTTTTGGAGTTTAAAATTTTATAATTAGATATGAAAATAAGTTTTGAGATAATCTTAAGAATATTTTATATCACAATTATATGTTATGATAAAATTTGAATTGTTTATTATCGCAACCTTATGGAAACCACACCCATATATAAATATGGGGAGTAATCTGATCCTATAAATGAACAAGTTATTCTCATTCTTGGAGAAGTATATACAGAAAGTATACACCTTTAAATAATAAAAAGGACGTAATTTTCAGGATTAAACGAGTGTCCAAAGACTTTGCATAAGCTCTCAGCACCTGTTCTCAAAGTATCCTACAGAAACTATACTTACACTACATGCAATCAAAGAAACCTAATTTTCAGTATGTTGGCCTGCAAGGGCACAATGACAAATAATCACAAAGGATATCAGAGAATTAACAGCGACCCTGGCACATGCACATTTTGCCCGAATATCACGTACTAGTAATCTAAAGATTGTAATGCAGTTTGTACACCAAAGCCCAATACAATTGTACATGCAAATTAGCATTAAGTGTCTGTCATGAATCAAATCTTCCATCAAGTCACTTGATAAAATAAAGTGCGGCACTTGGGATCGCAAAATCTCTTTTAGCTTTCAGTTCCAGTAGTAAGAAGGGACCCCTGCCGCTCTCATGACAGGAACTTCTGTGAAAAGTGTTGAAGCGTAGAAGTCACGTAGTTGTAGACACAAATGTGAAACAATGTATGATAAACTACCTCCACAAATCGAGATTGATGTACCAGATGCCTGTGCCAACTAGTCAAGAAAAATGGTGAATTTAACATGAAAACGAGAACAACTTGTCACAATTCTGATGTCCTCAGCTCTCGTACCTCTCTGGGCATCAAATTTTACCTGCAGTGTGACTTAAGCTTATGAACCACGGCTCCCCCTAGAGCACTTGGGATTTTACTTCCCAACCCATTGAGCAAAGGGGGTTATATGATGTTTGGGTCACACACATAATTGTACGCCTCAACCCTTGAGAATAGGGGTTGCTGATTGGATCAAAATCATAAAACATCTCAAATAAAACATACTGAAAGCTGCATACTGAAAGCCAAAAATCTCCTACAATCATCCTAGGACATGGTTTACAACAAAAACATTTTCCCAAGTATGAACTGGTGTATCACACATATACACACATCTGGATAGATCACTTTTTCTTATCACCCACAAATATTTTAAAATGCTCTCCTACTCCACAAGTTGTCAAACTCTTATCCCCTACAGTCATTAGGAATGATGGAAACAGAATCTACACAAAGACCTCCTTTGGAATGCGTGCAGTCAATTTGTTTCATAGAAAATCTGATTTCTGTCCAAGAATCTGAGTCACTGACAATGAATTTACCTACCTGATAATCTACCCAACATCCACGTGCAGAACCCCCCATACTATCCTTGTCATGTCCATCTAGACAGCACTCACATGAATCTTGCTGCCCATCTGCTGTAGATAGTTCAAAACGAACAGGCTTTAAATCCCATCCATGAGTGTGCTCAAAGTTACAAACACGCCGGCGCAACCTTCTAGAAGGTCTTCCCAGGTGTACCCTGAATGATAGATTGTACAATCCTGCAGGAAGACGAAACTTCAGTTGCCCATCTACTTCAAACCACCAAATTTGCTGAAGATATGCCACAACACGGAACCTGAATATAAAAGAGTGAGAGAGTTCAGGCAAGTCCAGCTCAAGACCTTTTTTTGGATAGTAGTCTAGCTCAAGACTTGGTCATAAACTTAACACCACAGTTAGGTAGAAAGAAATATTACCTAATATTCCTGCTTTCAGTGACATGTCCATCCATATAATGCAAGGACCATATAAAGATAAACATCAAAAAATCAAAAAATTCATGGAACTGGGACCAGCAAACTCCCCCCACCCACCTCAATAGATCAAGTAGAGCTGGGAAGAAAATGTGAGGTTTTAGTTCCACTTTTCAAATTATTGTTGTCTTTTTCTAATTTTGTTGCCAAAATGAGATCCTCATATGTAAAATCTTTTCAAAGTGGCTTTACACTATAGTATAAGCCAGTTGGCTTATATAATCTCTTTTTCCAATATTTGTGTGTGTATATGCTCGCATGTGTGTGTGGAAACCTTATGTGTTTACATGGACATAAAGTCATGCGTCTAGAAAACCACAGTCGGCCGATCTTGTTGGGAAGGTCAAGAGAAAGAAAGCAAAGAACAATGTCACAAGGTGACGCATGCTGTATTTGTCAAATAATAATTAATGCATAACATTGTTGAAAGCTGGGAAGGAAATGTGAAATTTTTTTTGATAAAGTTAACCTTAAGGAAATATGAGATTTTAGTTACACTTTTCAGATTATTTTTGTCTTTTTTAATTTTTGTTGCCAAAATGAGATCCTCATATGCAAAATCTTTTCAAAGTGGCTTTATGCTATAGTATAAGCTAGTTGGCTTATAAAAACTCTTTTTCCAGTGTGTGTGTGTGTGTGGAAACCTTGTGTTTACACGGACATAAAATCATGTGTCTAGAAAACCACAGTTGGCCGATCTTGTTGGGAAGGTTAGGAGAAGCAAAGAACAATGTCACAAGGTGATGCTAGTTATATTTTTCAAGCAATAATTAATGCACGACATCGTTGACAGCTCACTTCTATCCATTAGATTAAGATCAAGAGTTAGCATGTCTTCAAACACATAAATTATAGAAACATTACAATGAACCCATGGGATTCTTTGAAACAAAACTAGTTGAAAGTAATATATTTTATGTCAAATTTCAAAGCGAACAATATAATGGCAAACTATCAAATTTTTTAATGCAAGTATGATTTGTCACTTTCTTTAAGATAAGAGATGGATATAGTTTTCCAAAGGAAAAAGTATACATACTTTGTAAGTTCTCTAATATTGAAAAACATGACAGATTCCTTACGGAAGTATTACATCCACTTTATAATGTTTTAAATATTATAAACTATTTAGACAGATATCTAACAACCTATCATATGCTAAATAGATATTGTTGGAATTTGGTTGGGTGGTGTACTTGAAGAAACCATATCTAAGAAAAGAGAACTCTTAAGAGGAATATCATTATTATCGATCAAGAGTATATAGAGTGTGTGACCCATGTGTGCCCCACAGTCCCATCCTTGTGGGCCCTACACATATGGGAGGTTGGTTCTTATCCCCCTCCACGTGGGTCCCTCCTAAAAAAATGAATTTTAAAATTCCAGAAATCTCCTTATAGGGTTTTTTAAGCAAACAAAGATATTTTAAAATCTGAAAAAAAATATCCAAAAAATCACAGTAACACAATTTTAGTTAAAAATGATATTTCTCGAGTTCCACAAAAATCTAAAACGCACTGAAATACAACTTAGAAGTGGATAGCTACCTAATAGGTCAAAAAACAAATGAATGTCAGGGCACTCCACCTAAACCAGAATCCATGATCCACTACTGTCTTCTCAAACCAACTCTACAGAACCCATGACCTACAATCAAATGCAAGGGCTCATGATTGGTCTATCAAAGTTAGCCAATAAATAGTGGAACCATAGTCCCAATATGTGAATTATAAGTTCACCCCTTAAGAGCAAGTCAAATGCACACATTAATATAGTACATGTATCCCTCTATATAGAGTTGCTTCTCAAAATGCAGTTGTCATATGTACATGCCATGCAAAACTTTTGCTGAGGATTTTGGCCCTTGGTCTCACAAGCCCTACCTCCGCACATAGGAGTCTACTACATAGCTCCCCTGGCCAATAAACAACGTCCCTGGGCATCCCTCCGACCTCAACAAGCAATGACCCACAATAAATCCTCAATGATAGAGCCACATAACTAGGAGTAAGGGCATTGGACATGACCTAGGCCATAGACCGCCCAACTCTAAAGCAGTCACCACAGTACACTCTCACTGAAGTACACAAATCACTCTAAATAATTTTATTTACAAGCTCTCTATGCCTTTAAAAGACCACAAACCCTGACAATATGTTTATAGGAATTGGTTGGAGTTAGAGGTAGATGTAGATTTATTTAATGTGCTCACAGATACAGAGTACAAATTCTGAAGTCATAGATTTGTGTTGAAAGATACTCTAGAAATATTGAAGTGAAGAAAAACGAGCCATGAAGAGGAATTCAAAGTCACATTCTTGTGTATTCCCTTTTAGTCATAAAGATACGTGGGTGAGTACGAGGGTTAGTTCTCATGTACTGATTTGGTATTGTGATATGGAGCTGCACAAGAAGCACAAAATCCTATATCATAATCCAAGCATTAATTCCATGAGAAACAAGTTTGTTTTATAGAGATCTCTAACTTATTTGGAATTTTTGTCACAAATCAACATATGTTGGATTATAGGAATGTAAATTGCGAATTCCAAATGCGTTGGATGGAAAACACATAAGTGGTCCAAGGAGATTGAATAAACTAACACGCTAAGGTCCACTTTGGACGGACAATTGAGTATGAGTAAAATTATTTTAGCCAATAAGAGAGTCATGGAACAATTTAGTATGACATTTGGTCCACTCCAGCAGGCCCAAAAGAACATGGTAGGAAGTAGTGAGAAAATATATGGGAGTTATGTCCTCACTGAGGGTATGACCCTCGATAAAGAAGAATGGCAGACCAAGATTCATATAGCCAACCCCAAATAGTAGGGAAAAGGCTGTGATGATGATGATGATGATGATGATTTGGTCCACTCCAGCCTAGTCATGAGAAAACCCCATTCTACTCCTTGTTTATTTCTAAAATGTTGCATAACGCCACAATTAACTATCAAAGTTACAAATAGAGAACTTGTTCTTCATTAGTTCTTGATTATAGGTACTCAAGCAAATCATTTACTCAAAAACAAGTTGTCCATCCAAACTCACCCTAACAGAGTTGTATGTGATGTGTCTACAATCTACTTTGGTATTAATTAGATACATAGCCACATGTATACTTGGGCTTTCTAAGAAACTGTATAAAACATTGAGGTCTAAAGGACAATCATAGTTTACTATACCAAAGAGGTGCACATAAAATAAGCACAAGAGCACACTTGTGCTAATAACATTACCACCTTTTGATAGTTGAGGAACAAGTGATATCAAATCCCAAAAAAATCAAGGAGAGGATCTCTCGCTATCTAGAACCATTGATCCAGTACTGCTGCAAATGGCAACAAATTATGATTGCGAATCATCATTATGGCATCACAATACAGCAATAAAATATCAGCTTCCACAAATGCTTTGTGAACAACTGGGAGAAAACCAATAGGCTAATAAAAAAGGCTTTGTCATCAGCCATGTGGCATCTCCTAGCCAAATACTTGTGAAGTGTCCAAGTCTTGAGTTTTTTTTTTTTTATAATGAAAAGAAAAAAAATAAAAAGGGAAGGTGTTAAAGTGAATCCCATACCTAGTTGGTTTGAGTTTTATCAAGCAATGTTTGATAATTACTGTCAGAAGTCAGAACCCAAAACTCACCCAAAAATAAAAAACAAAAAGGGAAGGTGTTAAAAGTGAGTCCCCACTTAACTCTACAAGCCCTCGTCAGACTTGCATGAGTTCATTGTGGAACTCCTAAATTCGTGTAACAACTTAACCCAAAAAAAAAGAATCAGCTAACTCCTAAATTCGTGTAACAACTTAACCTAAAAAAACGAATCAGCTCAAGTTGCCAATTTTCACAGCATCGAAACTTAGACATTTCTTCCCCCTCCAAGGCCCAAAGCAATCTCAAAAGCAAAACCCTTAAAACCATTACCATTTAGACAAATTTTCATGAAGATTCATTAATTTAGCGATAATTCTTTAAGGTACAGAAAAACTCCCACAAGTTGCTAGCACAACAAAGGGCAAATGTAGGATTTTAAGGCCAGAAAAATATCCAGAAAATTTTCCAAAAGTTTCCAAAAAAAAATATTTCTGAACATTTTCATTAAAGGTAGGCCATGGAAAACATTGTATTTTGGGAAATTAGGATCCTTAAGGAGTTTGTTCTCAACAATTTGGGCACTCCACTTCGCTAGGTCTAGGACCCCCGGTCACTTTCTCGAAATTAGCCCAATGGGACCCATAACCCACAATCCCTAGTAGGAGCGTCATGCTTGGCCCTCAAAGCTAAGCCAGTAGGAGACTATGTTCCAGACATAAAGTGGATTGCAGATGGTCCCCAAGGACATACACTCTCGGGATGTGAAGGAACTCTCTCCGGCACATGTGCATGTCCCTTCTCAGTGGATCTACCTCAGAGAGAGCGGCTTCTTATTCTACATTTATCATGAATAAGATCATAGTCAGGGATTTGGCTCATGTCCTCTCATAGCCAATCCTTCTTGCACAAGGCTCAATCACACATAATCACAAACACGAATCTCGATCGACATCTTGTCACTCATAGTATCGTAGTGCCCTGGCTTATATCAATCATGAGGCGAAACCCTCAAACCCTTCATGGTATAATGCCCCTAAACAGAGCTTCACGATCCGGTGTTTAGTTACTCTATGGACCCACTTTGGATCCCAGTTCACACATATCCGGCGAGTCACACATCCTCAGTCACTCCCACTGTGACCAAGAGACACAAAATCTTGGCGTCAAGGCCTTGAAAGACCACAACCCCAACATTAAGACTTGTCTTCCATAATTTCCTGCA